TGACCTGTCTGTCTTGGGTGGCCCTGCATGGTATAGCTCATGGCTTCACTGAGTTACGCAAGCCCCTTTGCCACGACAAGGCAGTGATCCATGAAGGGGTAGAACAACATAGTTACCATAGATTGGGAATGCCCCTTCTCTGTAAGCCCTTTCTTCTGCATTGGTCAACACTGTAAAAATTTAAGTATTAGGAAACTCTATGGAAAAGAGGAATGCAGATGATCTATGATACATATTTATATTCTCTTTATATACCAGGAATCACTTTGTGTAATTCTAACTGCAAAAAGCACTTCATTAAAACATATGACAGATGAAACTTGGGATGTTGTGTTTGTTCATTGATATTAACCTAGGTGATGTGATTGCCATTTGACAACTTTCTAGATCTCTTAATGTGCAGCTTATCTACTTCAATGTCTTTGTCTTTTATTACTTTTTATTTACTTTTATCCTTAGAAAACTTGCCACATTTGATACATGGAGTTCTTTGGCAGTGCATATAGCCATGGACAATACTGTTGTGATAGAGGAAATAAGTAAGTATCATTGAACTGTTTATAGAAGCATGTGCCTATTGATGAAGGGAGATGGTTTTTAATATAATTAAATTGAGGATTTTAAGGGTCAGAAGACATTCCTTAGGTTTACAGAATCCAAGTGCAGCTAATTCTTAATTATGTACATGAGAATAATCAAGTAAGGATGCCTGCTCCATTGTATCAAATCTCTGATAGATTGATTTGAGTGAGTTTTTAATTGCTACTGTTTTTAGAGGTGGATTTCTGAAATAGTGCAATTTTGTATTTCAGTGTTTACCTGATTGTCTGGAGAAAACTGGATTGTTGAGCTCTCATTTTCAGATCTTTTCTATTTGTGAAAAAGAAAGTTTTACCTCTGCAGCTTTATGGTAGAATAGCAACAGAATGTCTGGAAGAACCTGCTTCCAGGCTTTGAAATGTTGATTATAAATATTGTTACTACAATAAAATATAAATTTCTATTAGCAAGTAATAGCAATTTAAATTTTACTGTAGTGGTAATATTTGGGTTTGGCATCCCATTCTTTTAAAATATGTTAGATGTTTGTAGTTCTGCTTGCTAGTCAACAGCAGGTATAAATTAGATGTCAGCCTTGAGTTGAACATCTACTTTATAAAGTGCTGAATCAGGCCCAAATAAAATCTTGGAATTATTGCAGATTCTTGTTTTCTGTTTTGAGTACTTGTATTTTTAAAAAATCGCTTGAAGTATACAAGAAGAAAGTGCACAATTTTTTGTGGCTTGGGACGTTTCTAAATGTTGATCTTCAAAGGCCAGATGTGGTCAATCTGATGACATCATATTTCAGCCTCCTTTTTGTTTGGAAGCTGAGTTTTGAGTTGGTTCTGATGAGCAAGAATAATACTATTTAATTCCCTCCCACCAGAACAGGAAATATCAGTTTGATTGGGGCGGGGGCAGGAAGTTATTGGGAATTTTCAGGAGTGGGAATGGCTGCCTTAACCACTGCATGCTGTACAGCATTGGTTTTGCCCATTAAGACCCATTGCAACTCCCACAAGAGCATCAAATATTTTGGTCCCACTCACCTGGGCTATTCTGTGGGCTGTGAAAGGACTGGTTGGGTGGGGGGGAAGGCTCTGTGTGGATTGTTGGATTGTTCAACCCTATTGTACAGAGAAGATGTGAACATGGAGGGCAGGGAAGCAACTATCTCCTGCACGCAGTCCCTAAATCTCTTTTTATGGCCCTCAGAGCCCCCCCAAATAATGCCACCTAAATTAAACAGCAAATTCCTAGATGACAAAACAGTGTTTTTCTGCTGTTTTTCAGAGGCAGACAAAAGCAATGTAAAAAATGCTGCATAGCTTTAACATGCTTGAAAAAGTAAAATAAAAGCACCTTTTTGTATACAGTAAAGTTACTGTATCATACACCACCCTTAGTTCCCCCCAAAATATATATATTAAAAAAGAAAGTGTGGCTGCTCATCTCTAATACATTATAGGACAATATTTATTACGGGCCCTTCCAGGACCTTCCTGAGAAGGGAGCCCCTTAGATAGCTCTATTGGTGTAACTGAGGCTGTTTCTGCTGTTTTTTAATCTTTTGGCAGGAAGGTTATGCAAACCCAACTGTCCATGTCCTGGAGCCTCAGCATTTCCTTCTGCAGAATCAGACTTACTTTCCAATGGTTATCCAGATGGGGACGAACCTATAGACAGTTTATTGCTTTGGAAACCACTAGTGCTGCTGATACCTCTTCGCCTGGGGCTGACAGACATCAATGAAGCCTATATTGAAACACTGAAGGTATCAAATAAGTGTAACTACCTGGATATCTGAAACAATCTGGTTTGGTCTGTGCATTTTTAATGTTCATATTCTGGATCATATTCATACTTAACGGTGTTTAGCATTGGTTAGCCATTGACATAAATATAAGCCCAACAGCATCCCAACACTAAATTCATTGTAAGTCTCAGAATGTCTGAAATACACGATCTCCATGGGGATGTTCAGCTGTGCTGTCCAGAGCTGTCGTAGATGTAGAGATTATGAGAGCTGCTCAGTCTGAATGGGTAGAATTGTTTTACTATTTGTTGCAGTGATTTATATATGCAGGCGCATAATGCATATTTGTGATCACCCTACTTCTATTTAATAATTCAAGTGCACGCATTTTTCTCTGAGCTAATTCTGAATACTTGCTGCTTCATTAATTGTTAATGACTAACTAACAAAATAATTAAGGCTACAAACTTGTATACTTATTTGCCTGAGAATAAGGCTCTTTTGAGTAAATAACCATAGAATTGTGCTGGTGAGTTTTGTGGTAAGGAGTTAGTCATTTCATGCTACCATTTGTCAGTCACCCCTTGTTAGAATTTTCTAATTATATAAAGTAGTTTTTACACTGTTATTTCTTTGAAAACTATAGCACTGTAAATGGCTTCTCCCTGTGGTTTCTTGTTGTAAAAATGGCCAGTGCTGAATGTTTTTTTTCTGAGTCTTCAGTGGATAAGTGTATAAAAACTATTCTGAAAAGCTGTCTAATGCTCTTTACTGGGATGGTGTTCTATTTTCCATTGTGATTAATTGTGCATCTATTCCTTTCCAGCACTGTTTTATGATGCCTCAATCCTTAGGCGTGATTGGAGGAAAACCCAATAGTGCTCATTATTTCATTGGATATGTTGGTGAGTTTAAGGTGTAGGTATGCTGAATATATTAGTGAGTAAGGGTGTGCAAGATATTTCAAACCATTTTCTCAGGCGCAAAACAGCTGCTGTAAGTGCAAGATATGCTGAATGAGGCTTACTGCTATTTATTGACTTACGTTGAGGCATTCTGCTTAAGAGGACACACCATGGGGAGCGTTAAGCTTATATTTGTACTATGTAGGAAACATCTGTTTTTGTTCAAAAATAGTCATCCTTAAAATCTATATTCCCTCAAACTATCTTTGATCTGTAAAAAGGTAACAAGGTTCTTCTTTATTCTTAAATAATCATGCAAAAATATAATGAACTTTGTTCTTTTCAGCCTGTACTATGATAAGGTGGTTTGACAATTTTAACCTGTATCCTTGAAGACTGTTAAGCTTATATAACAAGCTGTGTAGTAACACATAATTACATATAGATACATAGTTACACTGATTATATTACATGGTGCATTCTATTCAGCAACCATGTTGGAGCAGGGTGATTTTTCATTACAAAATGGTTCCTCCTGAAATACAGCACTCCTACATGTATGATCAAGGGTTCAAAGAAACAGAAGTCTCTGATATATATATTGTAGCATTCAATGACAGATACCCTTTAGCCTTAAAGAAAATTACTTTATTAAAGAACAAACCTGTTTTCTTAGCTTAGATGCAGGATGAATTGAGCAAAATATTTTTGAGTGATTTCCTGATGGGGTATTGCCTTGTGCAGTTTTTCAGAATGATGTTTTTGTGTCTAATACAAACTTTTTTGGGCTGAGCCCATGCTTAGATTTTGAATGGCATGCCAGGGCAGTAAAAGTGGATATGACTAGGACAAAAACTAAACTTGATTTATTATATTAAATGTAAATGTATATTAAATTTAATATATATAATGTAATCTCTTCCATGTGTTCAATAGTTTTATCAAAAATTACATCTTGGTAGCAGGTTTAGGAGGGATTATTGGGGTTGCATGCAAGGTTTTTTAGGGTCCACATCTTTGTCTTAAGGCATTCAGTTTATATATCCATGATAAAACTCTGACTTTCCAAAATTGATTAATATGCAATATAGTGTGTATATGATCTACACTCTCCATACTAGTAGTTGAGAATTGATTCAATTTTATTATTTCTTTTCTTCATTGTTGATCTTTATTACAGTCATTAACAAGCACAAAGCAAATCATGAGCCAAATATAATTAGACTAGATCAGTAGGATTAAAATGAATAAAAAGGGTACATGTAAGGAAGTGTAACTAAAAAGAATATTAGGAATAGAAAATGTTAAGACTAAAGAGTTAGTATAATATGAGAATAAACTTAAAAATGAAACTAGTGACAGATTTTAATTTTTAAAATAAAGCAATAAAATCATCTAAAAAGATTTTAAGAATTGTAGACTTCATTTAAAAATAAATGTCTGACAAGCCCAGCAACAATATAATGTAACAACTAACAGGATAAATATGAAACAAAACACAAATTTCACCTAAAAGACTAATAGAAAAAAATCAGTCTTAGACAATGTGAGAATAAGACATATATGGCTAACCCAGCTCAACTGGATTCAGCTACTCTTAGTTATCATATCCTTTATTTTATATGCAGCCACACAGAACCTGGCTATGTTGGGTTCATCATCTCAGGATCAATGTCAGAAGGAATTGCACATATTGATTAGTAAATCCTGTTATGTTATTCAAAAATGGAGTAATTAGAGCACTGCAAGGTTCCACATAGAAGTGGCGATATAGGAAAACATGCTCAATAGCGTCAACCTGTCCTGAGTCCAGGGGCATACTCATAGTGGGTATGATATCTTCTTATATCTTTCTTCTAGCAGTGCTGAGGGAAGAGCATGAAATCAGGATGGAGTGAAAACCCTTCTCTGAGTTAGAACGTTTAGCTCCATGAGATACATAGCTGGTGTCTCATATATCTCAGACTGTTAGCTGTGAGAAGCTGAGAAGTATTGCTTGCACTGATTTGATTATCTACAGTATGTCAAACAGACTCTTCTTAAGTGTCACCGTTACTTGTTCACAACAGAAAGAGAGTTAAGGAGGAGAGTGAAAGCCCTAGGAGCAAAAGCTTGTAAATCTTATTTCTACCTGCTTTGAAATCTATCCTCTAATGTCAGGGATGCTAAGCCTGACAGAAGAAGGGGCCTGCATATTCTTGTCTTTCTCCACACTTGCCATTCCAGCTCCCGTGTGCAGTATTGCATTAGAGACACAGTGGAGGACTCAAAAATTGCTCTTAGAAATTTGGACAGGATGAGTTTAAATGAAGCAAGGTTGAAGAGTAGTCCAAACTGTGCACCACATAGTAATTATGCTAGAGGCTTGGGTTCAAAAAGCTTAATTGCTGCAGGTGTTTATATTGGCCTCCCCTGGAGCAGTAGAATCTTAAAATAGCCACTCTACTCTTATGTGCACTCTGGTAACATGGTTAGCATGAGCCATTTTGTCTCCATTCACTTGGGGGACCACCCCCAGGTATTTAAAGCATAGTACCTATTCAGTGGCATTGCCACTGATAGACCAGGAGAGCTTTTTGGGTCAATTAGCGAATGCAGTAATTTTGGTTTTGGGGTAATTAATTTCCAGTTGGTCCTTTTTTAAGTTGCTGTACAAAGCATTCAAGACTCTCTTCAGTCCAGTAGGGGGTCCTTGAGATGATTACTGCATCATCTGTTTATAACTGAATAAATAATTGAATGAATAAATAAGCAGAATAGCAGTAGGTCTCTCTGCCAGTTTAGGTGGATGGAAAGTCAGGTCGTTAAGCCAGTCTACCACACAATTTATATAGAATTTTAATAAAAGAGGTGCTGATATGCAGCTGTGTTTTATACCCTTGGCAGCTGGAATGGGTACTGTCAGATGTCCTTGGAGATTACATATTGTGATGTGATGTTTTCTCATGTAATGCATGACTAAGAAATAGCGGTCAGTGATCAGTGGTAGTATTGTATGGCTTATTCCATAGTTTGGTCTGAGAAATGGAATCAAGATCAATAAAGAGGGAGACAGTACTCTGGGGAGTATATTTCTCAATAAGATATTCAAGAACGAGGCACTGGTCAATTGTAGAGTGACCTTCCCTGAAGCCAGCTTGTTCCTCTGCAAGTAATTGTTTAGGTTTCCAATGAAGATGTATCGCATAGAGTTTACTGATAATTTTAAGGAGCTTATAAATCAATGATCTTTTCATTGATCTTTGTTTAGGTGAAGAACTAATCTATCTCGACCCACACACAACTCAGCCTGCAGTGGATCCCATAGACAGTTGCCACATCTCTGATGAAAGTTTTCATTGCCAGCATCCGCCCTGCAGAATGAGCATTGCAGAGCTTGATCCTTCTATTGCCGTAGTGAGTATGCATACCTGAACTTCACTCTCATATCAAGTGAGAGCTGTGATCTCAGACAATCCCACAGTTAGCTACTGATTCCTCTCTTTATGAAGGCACTACTGTTGTGCTCTCCTTTTTCACTGTACGAATTAGATATATTCCTGTTCTAAAGCTTGAGAAATAATTATTTCCAGATTACAACAGTTGAGGCTGTTTAGGTTGGAATGAAGGAGGGTAAGGGAAGAGAGACAGATATGGTAGACAAGTATTTGTAC